TATTCAATGAACCCTAAGCTCAACCCTTCGCAACGGGAACTAGCGGCACGCACCAGGCAACAGCAATCCCATTCTTCCGCAACACGCCCCAACCGACACCAGACATTCCAGCCGCAGAAAGGTACAGAGGAGTGATCCCACAGCTTGGAGCCCCAAACCAGAAGCATTCTTCGTCCCGCTTTCCTCCACCAAACTTCAAAGCCCTCCAAGCTTTTCATCTCAGGATGGCGGCTCAAGCGCACATGCCTATTCATGGCCTGCACTCGGGCCCGTGATGTGGGAGTGGACAAAAAAACCCAAGACCTAACCCTAAAGGCAGAGTATGGAAGGACCGAAGATAGGAGCCTGCAGCGTTTTTCACTCCTATTTCCACTAGTCTTGGTTGCGAGGGCCGGCAGGTCTTCTGACAAGGTCTCAAGCGAACGAGGGGTTGTTCTCAATTGGGGTCCCTTTTGGGAGGGCAATAATGAGTTGAGCATGTCGAGATGGACAGCCTACCAAAGGAACCCTGATGCAGAACAACCCCTGCCTAGCGAAATGAGCGTGCCACAGTGCACTCAATCGTCACAGTGCAGCGAGGCATTGCGACGAGCGAAATGTCACGCAAACGGTAAACCTTAAGCACCCCAGTTTTCTCCAAGTTGTGAGAGCGTAAACGCACCCCACAGGACCGACAGCCTCTCCTCCGTCCTTTAGTTTCCCAAGGGTCCATGCAGCGCTAGGAACATGCTAGTCGGCTCAGGAATTAGAGTTTCGGGCAAACGTTATACCTGCAGTCTTGGTGCATAAGAGTTTCGGTCTTGTCACCCAGCCTAGTTTCAGATACCGGGCCGCCTTGAACCGGAAAATTCACCCCTGAACCGCAGGGTTTAGGGTGTAGGGGTTTAGGGAAGGTTTCTTGGACATTGGAATGAGTGTCTTGGGAAAGGGAGGTTAATTGACTTAAAACTTTGCGCATGCTCTTAACAGTCTTCCAGTTGCCGCGATCAGGAAGCGAATTGTGCAGGACTGCTAGGTCGTTGGATCCACGCAAGTCTCCCCGTTCTAGCATCGGGTAACTGAAAGCTGTGCAAGCCAAAGCCCAGTCTTCCTGAGCCCTGAACTACCCAAACCCTACTGTAACCAGCCCTAACCCCTATAGGAGCCCTGAAGAGGCACTCCAGAAGGCGAAGGATGCCGGAGATCAGAAGCCGGGCCCTCAAAACGGAAAGCTTCTGATGGCCACCCCGAAGGAGAGAAGCCACGATGCATCTAAAGCAGCGTGGCTTGGAAGGCTGAAAACGGAAACAAGACATAGCCATGCATCGCCACACCGTAGTAAACCACGAACAAGAAACAGCACTTCCGCAGCAGCAACAGTAGTGAAGCCGCAAGATCGATGCAGAACCTTCGACCCTAACATACAGCTGCCTTTTATCTACATGCACAAAAGACATGCATGTCGACCCACCCGCCCATGCACACATCCAAGAACACACACGCACACAGACACACACACACACACACACATGCGCATACCAACCAGAAAGTAGGACGCCCTTTCGTAAACATCGCGGCACTGCAAGTGTTAACATTTGCTGAACAAAACCCGGTCAACAACTTGAGTCAGTAAAGGCTGGATGCATACATGCAGCGCGTACCAAAATGCTGGTCTTGGAACACGCCAGCTGACCAGTTGTGTGGTTGTGCGTGAAGGGCCCGTGCTTCCGCCCCCACGATTGTTTTGCAGGCACCAAAGGAACCGCACCGTAAGTACGACAACAATATCATCATGAGGCAAGATCAGATTTGAATTTTGAGGCCACGATGGAGAATCGTGGTCAAGGCACATGGAACTTAAACATAGCTTTAGCGAAGGAAGATTTTTGTATGCGTGCCTAGCTCTTTTGGGCTGTACTGCTGGATGCAAATGTGCATCCAAGTGCAGAACCTAACCAGGAAAAGTCAAGGCTTCCTAGCCACGTGGTCGTTAGAATGGCAGATGCGAGGCTGACGGCGCTGGCTTTGCTTGTGATGAGCGAGACGTACCTCGAGCCAGGGCCTTGTATGTTTGGATGATAGAGCTGGGGTTTATGGTTTCGGGGTTTAGGGCCCATGGGAATTTAATCTCGGGATCTTACCTTGAGGTAGTATCTTGGTAGTAGTAGATTTTCCCTAGAACTCTGACGGATCAAACAAGTGAAACGGAGCTTGAAACCTTACAGTCCAAACAGAAGTGCACAAAGAGCTTTTTGATTAAGCGATGTGTTCGTCAGAGCCTGTGATCCTGTACAATCGCCTGCTATGCCTTCTAGAAGCGAATATGACGCACCTTCCCGCGAACTTGGCGTGGTGCGCCAGGAAGTCTTGAGCAAATGCTCGGGCATAGTTATGCCTGCGCCATGCCAGGCGGCCTGCAGTTGTCGAAGCGCAGTCAGCAGCCGATGCTGCGATGAAGGTCTTTGAGGAAAGGGCCCCTTGTAAGTCTCGGGTTAAGGTTCCTGCTGGAAGTCGCTCGGGGTTTCTGTAGCCGTCTCAACAAACAACTACATGAACTCTCGGTTGACTCTCCTCGGTCTAGGGAAAGGCAAAGCGACGTTTCATCGCATGAGTAACATACGGTAAGTAGGATAATCAACTTCATCCAGTTCGTCGAGCTCCAGAACGAACGGATCACGCATAGGTCAACATCTACCATGTAAGTCGTGCTTCAGCTGCAAGGATTGATGTTCAATTTGTGACGGTTTTGCGGAGGAAGCTTGTGTAGGTTGGCAGACGCTTAGGATATGTTTCCGGCTTAGTCGGTGGGGCATTATCCGGTGCAGCGGAGTTCTTGAAACATGTTCAATTTGTTCGGATAGGACTGAGGCTTTCATCGTTTTTGGACATGTTTGGTCCCAGCTCCACTTCTATCGTTACGCTTGCTGCTATTGCCTTACCATGTACGGGTTGTAGTTGTATTACACTTTTCAGCAAAGTGCTTTGCAGAAGTCTCGTGTCTAACTCCTGATTGGCACCGCATCGGAACCCTAACCACCCTGAGCCTACACCCTAAACTTAATTCTTAGAGAGCCAGCCAAGAGGGACTTGTGCGAGATACTTGAGGCGTGTCAGCCATGACCAGCTTAGTTCTCGTGTTGCTAGTGTACTGAGAGGCAGGCATACCGGAGCCATAGTCTTGAATGTTGATTCCAGCGGCAGGTTCGCGGTTGATCACGGGCTTTCCTTGAAGCAAGCTTCTGAGCTCAGAGTCTAAGCACAGTTCAAGAGAGCCCCTATTTGCTGAGCTTTGCTGGCCTTGCTTGCCGTCTCGTCGCTCAAGCGGCAGCTGTAATGATAACTGCCGGGGTACACATGTGCCTCGTAAAGCAACGACACAATGTCTGCAGCGACATGTAGTGAGCGATAACGATGATAGTCACTATGCAAGAACAAATCAGTAGTTAAGCAGGCCAAGATCGTGATGCCATGCCTAGCAGGCGCTTAGCAGCCAACTTATTGCTACTGATGATATTGCTGACGCTTGCTGAATGAAATCGTTTACATAGCATGGATGCCGCCATGGGCCCTATAGGGGATATGCACATCTGAGTGTTACTACTTAACCCCGTCTCAGCACATCAAAAAGCCCAAACCCTGACCTCCGGAGCCCGAAAAGCTTCTGCTCTTAGGCCCTGTGAAGGCTCCGCTTATCCTAAAACACGACCCTTTCCGGATGATCCCTGACAAGGCATGTGCAAGATCTCAGCTAAACGATCGGAGCTGAACCCCGCAACCGCTGGCGAATAGCGTCCCAAGCTTCCGCTGAGCCCTCACCCCGAACCCTGCTTCGGGGATTCGTGACACGCCGACCGGCTGCGCTTGCCAATGCAGTGGCACGGAGCTCGCATTTGCCATGGCTGCCCCTGCCGAGCAATGGGTAGTGGCCATACCTACCTTCGATCGGCTGAGTGCTCTGTCAGGTTTTCAGTCACTTCAATCGGAGTTCAGGTCATAATTCGGATCACTACAGGAGTTTGTGGGTTGCGACTCGTGAATGGCTTGAAGTGGCACTATGGGATCAAAACACAGAACTGGAGAATTCGCTTGTTGCTGGATCGTAAAGTTTGAGGAAACAGTCTTGGTTGTGAGCGCGTGCTGGATTCGTGGACTTGGGCATACGGGCCATGCCTGGGGTCTTAACATTTCCACACACACACACCATGTTTGTTGGCTTCTTTGGGTGACATTGCTTTTGCTTTTGCGGAAATAAGCTGGAGACCAACGTCCTTTCTGCGGCTACACATGAAAAGAAAAGCTGTCATCTCCGGAAAGTCCCAAAAGAACGCCGGAGACAGATACCTGGTCCCAGGGACCGAGGCATGGTCGAGGCGTGGTCGGCTACTGTTAGAGGCCACCCCAGACCTACATATGCAGGATATATATATATATACACACACACAAGATGTCTGTCTAGGTACTTTTACTGCTCTATTTGCGGATCCATTCAGTTGAAGTTTCCCTAGTTCGTGACAGCATATTGCGGCCCCACTTTGGGAGTCTATGTTGAAGCCCGAGTTTCACTCATTGAGAAACCGGCATTTCGCGGCAGAAGCTGTTTACGATTCTTGATGAGTGATGCGTCTCGCATGCAACGACACTCTTGCTGCTGAAATAATGCCTAAATCGTGCCCTGTAGAAGTATGTTCGGCAGCTGCACGTTGCAGGATGTACGGCTGCTACTGGTAGTGGCTATCAGGCCTAAGTCAGGTTTCGCGTGAACCTCGAAAAGCCTCTAGGACCGTCAAGCTTATCGAGACTCCTGAGCCACTCAGTCAATGCCCCCCGCCCCGCCATGTGTCCCTGTTGCAAAGGTCGAAGCCAAGCCCCTATCACTGCAAGATGGTTCGCCAGGCTAAGAACCATTCGTTTCGAAGACCTTTTCCTTCATACTACACTCCCCCCCCTCACAATCGACGACGCGTGAGACCTGAAACCCTTGAAATCTCATGAACCCTATAACCCTGGGCTGCAAACCCGAGGAATCATCGGTTCGCATACCCTCAATCTGGTGCTTTCTGCTGGCATCCCGCCCAATCGCGTCTTTGTCTTCGCAGACCCGAGCCAGTATCACCAGTGCCTGAGACGCGATGAGGGTTCAGAGCTTTGCGGCTTTTACTGGGTTTAGGGATCGAGCTTCAAGAAAGCATGGCACGAGTTCTAAAACAACAAGGCGTGAGGGTTTTATGGTCGGGTTGTTGCATGGTTTACTTTAGTGTGATTGCTCTGACTTTGTTGTTGCTGCGTGTATGTGATATTTACTTCTGACTGGTGAGCACCTACTATTCCTAATGCCAGTGTTTCCGCCGGAATGCTTGTTTCCTGATATTTGGACAGTGCTGCTTTCTCTGTTGCCGCCGACACTCACCGTCACTGTCGCTCCAGTTGCAAATGCCCTTGCCTTGACAATCGCCCTTATTGTCACTGGCTGTGCTCGCTGATGATGTAGGGAACAGATCTGGTTCAGTAGAGCCAATGCCCAAGATGCCGTGACGCCCACAACAGTAATAAGCGAGAATGACAAAGGACGAAAGGACAAGTACTCGTGAGACTGCCTCAGTTGGCACCCCATCCGACATTCTCTGCGGAAGTTTCGGTCGGTGGACGCAGTGCAGACGTTGCAAAATCAGTACGAGCATGGATGGGATGTGCATGCTTTTGAACTGGAATCACTTCCTGGGCACTCCTACAAAGGCGAACTGCTGGGATATGTAAAATTTTCATATTTAATCCCCTTACAATCAAACCCCTACGATTTGGGGCGGGGTAATAGTTGGGAGCGGCAGAGACGGACAGAGACAGTGAGTGAGCGAGCGAGCGATCTATGGAAGCTTCTGCAGCCTCGCTTGGGCACTCAGGGTGCCTCAATGCGGAGACCAAGCAATACTGCACCGGTGCCGAGACATGTTTTGCAAGAGCAGTGCATGGAGGTACCAGAAACTACTACAACCTCACGGTGTCAACGTGATCGAGGGCGCCAAGGGCGTATGCCAGCAGAGGAGCCTGAAGATTTCCTTCTCCGTAAGCTCAAAACAAAGAAGCCACGCACTGACTGTGGTGCAGATACTGAGGAGACTCAGGAGCCTTCCTCGCGATCCTAGCTCGAGTCGTTTGAACTGTGAATCGCTGGAGGAACAAGATCATGAGCTTCTTCCCAGTGGGGGCACACATTGTAGATACTCGGACTCATTTCCATTGTGTTGTTCAATTGAGAGTTTCCTCGCCGGTGGTTATCCTTGTGGGGATTTCTAGTCTACAGGCAACAACTGTTCATCTTGAAAGAAGTCTTCGTGTGATTGCTTCAATTGCAGGACGAGCGTTCCGATGATTCGTGTCATGATTCCTGATGTTGAAACTCCGTTCGTAGGTCTACGATGAGGGCTTCGACGGGCCATGAGCCCCTATGGGCTGGACTCTCCTCCGGTAATGCAGCGGACGGCAACCCAGGAAATGGATGATGACATCAAAGGGCTGCTTTGCTCCACAGGACGGGTTTGCTGGGTGTTTCCCTGAACTTCTCGGATATTTCAGACAAGGGATGTTGCAACGCCGAGCTGTGTAGCATGTTCCTTGACAGCCGGTCCAACACTCAAGGCCCAAGAACTTCTAGAAACTCCTTGTCTGGGCGCAGCACGGAACCAGTGCTATCTGCGGTTGCATTGAAGAAACTAGGCTCCCTTTGGAATGTTCTTTCTCAAGCAAGCTGGCACCCGATCGCCGGACACGAGCAACCACTCAGAATCTTGAAAATAGAAGGCTTGATTTCCCCTTCACTGCTCAGGACGATGAGCATTTTTCAATCATCCGCTCGAATACCTTGCAGTAGATAACTTATGTAGTATGCCCAACCTGCATGGCAGGAAGCACAGTGCAGGGAGAGCTGGGCATTTGCTCCATGCATGTTGAGCCGTTCTGCTGCGCTTGCGCACCGGCTCTCTGCTTTAGAAATCAGGCTGTGGAATCTGCTGCAGGCACGGTCACAAAGTGCTCTGATGGTTGGTCATCGCAATCGTGCACCACGCATGACAACGACGGCAGCGATGGCGATGGCGGATGATGGCGATGGTGTCCATGGTCTTGGCTTTGCCTCCGAAATGCCACACTAAACTGCCATGCTGCGTGTTACGAATCTATACCGACTCATGGACTGACAGTGGGCGGGCGGAGCAAGCAAAACAACACCATCCCAGCCGCCAAGCCCGCCATGAGTGCCGCAGCCCAAGCCCGCGGCCGCGAGGGTTAGCGAGTGAGCATGCGGGGCGACCGCAGAGCACAAAACACAGGAAGGTTGTGGAGCCAAAATTTCAAAATTTCCAAAGGCGCGGAACAACTGACCCTATAGGAGGGAAAAGGACACGGTACAAACGAAAAAGAATACCATCCTAGGTGGCCCCTCATGCATTTGTTTGCAGCAGTTTCTGGCAACCTTGCCTCGCAGCATCTGCCACTGTCTACAGCCCCCTTTGTCCCGTTTCCGGCATCACTGCCTTCAGCGCAGCTTCCCTAGTAGAGACCCTTGAGCAGCCAATGTATGATTGTTTTCCAGCCAGTTTAAGCAGGTTGGGGGTTCAAGGCACCCGAATTGCTCTTGCCAAACACTAAACACCAGTTAAGCCAAGAGCAAGCATGTGTCGCAAACCCCGCGACACACTTCTGCCAGGACCACTCCCAAAAGTCATGACATCTTTGTTGATGCTCTATGTACCCGTACTGCGGAGAGAGCTCTGGTGCCAGGATCAGTGCGCAGCGACAAGTCGGCACAGGTCGTGGATGTTCCCGTCTCAAGCCTGCCAGGCGTTATCGACCATCTGCTTCTCTGGGTGTTCCTTAGGAGTCATTTTTCCTTTGTCATCCTTGTTTAAACCTTGAAAGGGAGATGAAACATGTTCCTCCAATATTTCTTTGTTTTGCTGTGGATCCAAAGGGCATATATAGTTGGTGGACGGTGTTTCAAATTGACATTAGGAGTGGTAGGTAGTCCAGGGCTATGAGTGCGAAGTTGATGGTGTGTCGCTCGGTCTCGTTGCTGCCATCAATCGTTAGACTCACTGGAGTCACTAGAGCCTCGAACCTGGGGCCAAACAAAACCTTAAACCAACCAAGCGCAGCTTTTCTTCTACAGGCCCCTTAAGGGAAGCGTGTGATAGTACCCTTGACGGGAACCCTATTATAGTACCCTTCAAAAAAAAACCTTTAAAAACAAATGACGCCGGCCCCGGGAAAAAGCAAGCTGACAAATCAAGTGCCAGCGAGGTTTGAGGTGGCGAGCCGCCTCATGGTCGCGAGAAGAATGTCGGTTGCTCCAACGGTTCAAGAGACTTTCTAGGGCTTCGGAGTTAGGGGTTGAGGGATGGACACTGAGTTGATTGAATAGCTGTCGTTATCCTAACAGGCCATATGAACTCCTGCAAAATCCCCTGCCGACCTCCTACCACAGTATTTCGTCATTCCGAAGCGCAAGAGAAAAGAGGGCTTCATACTCAAACCCAATTTTGCTTTGCGACCCCCTTTGCATCCATGACTCTTGTCGGCATCGCGGCGCCCAGGCGAAGGCTGCGTTCTTTGGGGAGTCTACCCAGTAGCCAATCCTTGGATGCTCTCCCGGACCTACTCCACTGGCTTGACGAAGGCGGGCATGGCCTGTGTGTTGCAGTGTTGATCCTGCGTTGAGTTTGCAGACTTCCCGAATTCTGCATGGGCGATGTCCGTGCTTGTTGCTTCGGATGAACCCAGTTTGGCACAGGGCTCTTTGCTTGGACTTGCACACGAGGGCAAGAACACCGCCAAACTTTCCAAAGGGTCGAATGGTCAATCGCCACTTCCGCTCACTTCAAAGTATGCGGTAGAGTCCGTATGTGTGAGGACACAACAGCCAAAACTTGAGGCGTTTTACGACTCTCAGACATCAGCCCGGGACAGGCAACCGCTCAGATGATGGGGTACAAAAACCCTGGCGCGGAGATGAAGTTGACCATGCCCGTCATGGAGGACCATGCTGATTGCCGAGGATTCCGGTTCTCCATGCTAGTGACGCCGAGGCATGTTGATTCGGGGCCCTGAGGGCCTGGCTCTGGATTTTGGTGTACAGCTTCTGGGACAGAGGCTTGTGATGTCAAGCGGGGTTGGAGTGAGATCGGAACCGACGGGATTTCGGTTTTGCTTTCATGGTGAGTTTGCGGCCGACTGGACCAGTCGTGGGCATGCGCATGGGAAGGTTTAGCGTCTCGAGGATGTGAGACTGACGAGCAACACCTGTTGTAAGTCAGTTCGGTGCTTAACTCCCGAAAGGCTACAACTCGAAACCAACAAACGAAAACTGTACACCCTACGAGAGAAGGACTACGAGCGGATACTTCGCCTCTACGCTGCTGGAAAGCGCTGTATGCGCTGCGACTACCTGGCGGTGAAGACCGATCCTTGCAAGAATCTAGATGTTTCGTACACATGCTTACGTATAGCTATGTACTGTACACTCATGTACATACGATACAGACATACATACATATAGTTATATATACAGAAATGAAAATACATATATATATATATATATATATATATTTATTTATTTATGTATTTCTGTGTGTGTACATACATACATACATACATACATACGTACGTACGTACGTACGTACGTACGTACGTACATACATACTTACATACATACATACACACACATACATACATACCTACCTGCCCACGTACATACATACACACATATTTATATATATATATATATGTATGGGTGTGTGTGTGTGTTTGTATACATATGTGTGTAAATTTGTGATTTGTTAATTTCATTTGGTGCTGCCAGTGCAACGGAAGTTGAACAAGCAGAAGCCGGTGCCGACAGCCTAATGTGTCTTCCGGTCTGTTTCTTCTTGCAGCACAGTGCCTGGTCAAGTTTCCAACCTGTTTGCTCGGAGAATGATGCCGAGATCATACAACACCGGTCCAAAAGGCTCTACTCCAACAATCGCCAACATCTGGCCGCTGCGTTCTTCAACACGAGTTCCGTGACAATTATGGGGTTAAAAGCCGCAGCCCGCTCGCTGTACTCCGCATTTGTCTGGTATTGAACCATGCAGGTTGGCAGACAGTATCTTGAAATACGTCTTCCTTTTTTGTTCACATACTCAAAGCTCAAACGATAAGCCCGGGGTCAGCAGAAATCATGCTGCTACCACCAACCTGTGAGCAACGGCGCACCCCCATCTTCATCGAAGGGAAAGGAGCCTTCGCATATGTCTTTGCAAGCAACACCAGCTGTTGAATGCCAGAAATTGGCAACGCCGTAAAACTAGCCTGGGTGGAGGAGCATTTGCGTCTTGCAAGATTCCTTGTCAACGATGGGTACCTCTGACACGTCTTGGCAGTGACAGCAGGAATGCCAAAATACAAGCAGGCCTACCAAACAAGGCTACATTTTCATTATCTACGAAGCAGTGGCCTGGCATTGGAGCCGTGTATCTTTGTTAGGGCGTTGCAGAGCTCTTGCAACAGAAGGGCTTTGCTATGCTCTGCTGATCCTTGCTCAGAGTTGGACAACTTTCCCTACTTGAGGGTAAAACTGCAGGAAATCCTTCCAATCAACGTGATTCAGCGCTATAGATCCATTCTTCCTTATTGCCACAAAGTACAGAAGAGTTGCGACATATTTTCTACGACATAAAAGAGTTGTTCACTTGGCATTCAGGGAACTGGCCGTGCTCCTGAATCCCGCCAACACTTGGGGGAAGCATGCGAACTGGTGCTCTCCTGAAGAGTTCTGCATCTCCGGACACGTCTCCGCTACTTCCAAACCGAGCAAGCCCGAGTGTGAGCTTGAGGCTTCAGATCTCCTTAACCGCCCAGCCTAATCCTGATCTCCTGGTGATCTCTTGGTGCTCCCCTACGGCTTTCTGGTGGTTCTGGTTGTTGCGGTCGTCATGCTCGCTTTTTGGCGCTCTATCACTTTCTGGGGGATGGACAATGGCATGCAGGCATGTATCTATGTATGCAAGTATGTATGTAAGTATTTAAGTATGTGTGTAAATACCTGTTACGCATTTGTGTTCCTCCTGTTTACAAGTTTGTATATTTCTTTGTGGAATTAACGGGCTCCTTCGCATGTATTCGCTAGGCCCTTAGACATTTGAGCCTTCTCTAGGTGAGTCTGATTAGTTGTGGGTGCACACAGCTGTCTGCCACAGAACCGCTTTCTGATGACCCTAGCCAGCTCAGACTTTGTGGACTACACCACTGGTTTCGCCTAAGCCTGAGGCTAACAAGGGCCCCGGTGGTTGCGCATCAGCCTTCACGGAATACAAGGCAGGGCCGCACATGTACTGTCGGCTGGCTATTTCAGGGGGAGTCCGATTGTTTACGACAGGAGGTGGTGTCCTGCGACTACAACGTTTTTTAACCTCCCTCAGTTGTTTCATTTCTGGTAGAGAGAGAGAGAGAAACAAAAAAAACAGCGAATGCCATGATTCCTCCCTTTAGCATTGCAGCACCGCTGCTTACAGGCTCGAGGTGGCGCTGCCTGGTTTATGTAGACTCGACTCCATGAAAGGGGAGTGTTAGTTGTTCTTCTCACGGGGTGTCACCTTGAAAGGTGATCGAGGACGAGACCCGGAAAAGCTTGCCGGCCATGCTCCACCCCCGTGAGATACTGGAGTCACAGGTTGCCCAGCAGCCCCTCGGGCAGAGAGAGTGTTTTTTTGTTGTCTTATGGTGTCTTATGTGATGGGTTTCAGCGAACTCGAGCCGAATATGGGGCGACGGCCGAGTCGCAGCGACGCTAGTGCGCGGTGCTTGAACCCTGAGAGGGAAAACAAAGGCAAAGGTGTGTTCGAAAGGATTCAATCGCAACTCAGATGCGGATAGGTTGCCATACTGCACAACAGAAAGCCAGTGTTGGAACTTCATGGTACTCTCTTAAAGGGACCTCAATTGGAACAACGCCGAAGCAGATGTTTTCGAACGGAGTCTGCGAGATATCGATGTAAAGACACGGAGCGCTTCGGGATGTGTTGAGGGCTGCGAGAACGAACCCCATCTTACAGGTGCTTCCACAGTGTGGGTTCAAAACCAAAGCTCTATAGTTCAGGGTACCCGGGCATCTGAAACCTACGAGCAGCATGTGTGAGCCAGTCAGTTGTTTTGGGCTGGAGATGACTGGAGCTTCGTGCGGTCCCAAACAAGCAATGCGTCAGAAGGCTGGTCCATTCACGACAGGCTTGGGGTTGCCAAACAGCCGCCGCATATAGAACTCGGCTCGATTGAGACGGAGATATTTACTGACTCAGCAGCATGTGGGCTTTTCAACTATGAGCACAGTCGAAGAGACAGTTCCCCTTAACCCTAAACCCGCGAACCCCAAACAACACTTCAAACCCCGAGCACTGCTTCGTCCTAGGAGGGCAAGAAAACGACAGAAGCTGTTCCCGCCAGGCTCCGAGAGCTGTTCCCGGATCTTGTGACTTCCGTCACCAAGCCCAAGCCAAAGGAGAAGCTTGGCTCCGCCCGAGCCAGGCTTGAGGTTCATGGTTTTCGAGTTGCAACCTTGCAGGTTTGAGAGGCTAAGGGCTGAGTACTAAAATGACTTCTATGGAGCTGAGTTCGGGTTCAGGATGTACCTATAGTCTCCACTGTAGTTCCTTTCCGGGTTACTGTACCTTATAGGATCCAAAAAAACTATTCAACCAAAAAGAGGAACTACAATGGAGACTACAGGCAGGGTTAAAGTCTTGTTGGCTCGGCCCTGCATCGGGGTTGAGGGGTTCGTCTTGTGCGAATAGAATGCGGGACCAAGTTCGGAGTCGAGCTTTGCTGAGGTAGTGCACAGGTCTTGAATAAGGTGTAGACCTATCCTCGTATAGTATAGTCTCTGTATGTTTACACGCTATAATATACCGCAAAAAGCCTCATTCTAGCAGTCGGGCCCCTATGATTAAATTGTCTGGCTGATGCTTCCCCGACCCTGCAGCAGACCACGAGTCCCATGCGCCCAGAAAATCAGGAAGAGCGCAGCAGGCATTGGACTCGTAGCGCTCCTTGGATCGCGATCGATTGTTGGCCTTAGGTTTTTCAGGGCTTTCCCCTCTAGAAACTTACATTCTACTGTGGGCCGCGGGCAGCATGCGATTCGGGAGCGGGCTGTAGAGAAAGAGAGAGAAGCCAGCTGGCTTGGTGTTCACAGACATTTGGACTCAGAAGACGAGTGCACGAACAAGAGATCATGTTCAGCGTTTTGTTGAAATGTGGTGTTTTCTACAAGGCCAAGGCTGTGCCTTGCAGGATATGCTCAGCCCTGCTGTGGTTCTGGCAAGACACGCGAGAGAACAGAGAGGCACATAGAAAGACAAAAACAGTGAGAGCATGTGTGCGTAAAGACGTGCATGCCCGGGTACTGAATGGAGCAGCCAGGTATCATCCTCCAGGATGGGTCGTGACTTTCTCCAAGCCCAAAATCCGCTATATCTCAGCGAAAGATGTCTCCGGAGACTTCGCCGAGATGTGGCTCGGTCTCTTGAAATTTGAGTTTATTGAGGGAGAGGGAGCCTCGGATGTGCAGGTCTTCTTCCAGAGACTGGGGTGCCGGCCTGGGGGGGTGGGGCGGCGAGTACTTCTGGCCGTCCGTTGCTTTTGCAACGGCTGCCAGCAAGGGCGAGAACAATGATGATGTCGATGGTAGTTTTGTTGGTAGGAGTTATGTACTCGCAACGTACTGCTGATGCTGATGACGGTGGACATGGTGACCAAAGCCTGTTCTGGTCTCTGCGGCCTTTGCTGATTGGCAACGCTCTTCGGTTTTTTAGTGATCACAAGCGGTCACTAGCTTGGCTTCATCGCTGAAGCCAGGTTGGGACTGGGACCTGGCATCGTCCCCCAGAAGACAGTGGGCAAAGACGGCTTCGTGGCACATCGCCTCATCAGAAAATTTCGCTTGTGAACCCCAGAAGAATTCCCTTCTGCTGCCCATGCAGGAAGATTTCCTCAGATTGCATGAAGGGTTATGGCCTAGTAAGGCGAGGGTTTGCTCTCCTTGGCGAGGGTTTCGGACGCAGGCTGGTTGAGTTCAGGGTTCGGCCGAGCACATGTGGCCGCTGTGCCCTCGCACCGTAAAACTCGCACGCCAGCACGCGGACAAGTCAGCCCCCTACAGGGTGGCCTTGAATGTAGTTTGCCAACTCTCGGTCGTAGCTGCACAGGCTAAGTATGATTGCTAGGAGTGTTTCTCGGCAGGGGAAGCTCATTTTGGGACATTTACATGTAGGTAGGTAGGTAGGTAGGTAGGTAGGTAGGTAGGTAGGTAGGTTTGTGTAAATGATTTGTTTGCATGCAGGTATGTATGTACGTATGCATGTCTGTCTGCATGCACGCATACGTGTTCACATGTTTGCTTGTTCGCATGTGTTTATGCCTGTACATGTCTGATTACATACGAAACGATGTACATGTTTCTATGTAATGTGATGTAATGCCATGTAAATGTACTTACTAATGTAAATGTGTTGTAAAGTCTTACAATGTATTGTGTTGTATTGTAGTGTGTTGTTAATGTATGGTATGGTATGGTATGGTATGGTATGGTATGGTATGGTATGGTATGGTATGGTATGGTATGGTATGGTATGGTATGGTATGGTATGTATGTATGTATGTGTGTATGTGTGTATATGTGTGTGTGTTTGTCTGTCTGTCTGTCTGTCTGTCTGTTTGTATGTATGTTTGTATGTATGTATATGTATGTATGTCTGTATGTATGTATGTATGTATGTATGTATGTATGTATGTATGTATGTATGTGTGTGTGTATGTATGTACGTATGCATGCATGCATATATGTACGTATCTGTATGTTTATATGTCTATGTCTATCTGTATGTCTGTTCTGTAACATTGTATGTATATGCACGCGTATCTATCTGTCTATCTATCTATCCGTCTATCCATCCATCTATCTATCTACCTATCTATCTATCTATCTATCTATCTATCTGATCTACATGTATGTATGTACGCATTCGTCTCTGCAGCCGCAGTCTCAGCATATGTTCGTGCGCATATGCTGAGATTGTATGTTCGGCCGTACCTCTCAGAGTGTGGTTGAACATCTGTCTTGTTTCTGCCACTGTGATGCAGCTTGCTTGCCTGCCTCGGTCAGAGCTGCAACGAGGAAAACACTAGTCACTAGTCCCTCCTGTGGTCCAGGTGGATTTGCGAACCAACAAGACGAGAAGGCTCCGGCGCCGTATGGCGCGACTGGCAACGGGCCTGACCAAGGAAGCTCGTCACAATCGGATTTAATTACGGTTTCAGCCAAGATCTACGAGCAGGTCAGCGCAAGGCTTACATGTGGTCAAGGCCCCGAAATTCCATCAGCAAGCCCCCGATGTTAACCAGACACTCCCGTGGAGCCGGATGTGCATTGAAAGTTGAGGGCCCACTGAGACACCGGGGAAAATGCAGCGCCGTGCATAACACGATTTGCACGTCGATGCTTGCCCAAACTTTTCGGATATGTCTCTTTACGGGCAGAAACCAACATGAATGGAGTACATACACTGCTCTCGCCTGACGCAAGCATTGTACCGACCTTGTGTTCAAAGTTCTATTGGGACAGGGCGGCTGTTGGCAGAGTCTGAACTTCAAGATTCTCATCCTAGAACAGTGCCGAATCTGAACAGACGAAACGGCGGATGTGGTGCTACCGTTTGTACCGGTATGTTGTGTTGCTGCTGTGCCTGCCTTGCGTCCTATGTCTATTTATGTCTGCTCACCCCACCGTCGGTCCACCGTATCCTAGTTTTGGGTACGCATCCTCGTCACTGAGACAACTGCCTTCAATTCGCACAGTTTGAGGTTGCGTGCTTAGGGTTTCGAAGCATCGCAGCAGAAGCATAATGCAACGATCGCAATGCCGGTGATCATTAGCTGGCCTGTTTGGTGTCCGTTGTCCAATGAGTGACCGAACAGTAGTAAGGCTGGCAATTCGATGTATCGGAGCAACATATTTGTCTTGCATCAGGTTCAGGGTTAGATTCGATAGGAGCCGTAGACACTCGGGGCAAAGGCGGACATCGTGTAGGAAGAACGTGCCCGATGTTCTGAACCTCCCCAGGTGCACAAGGAGACTTCCAGAAAGCCAAGAAGGGGAAACGAAGAAGATCTGAAGCGACCCAAAAAGGAAAGAGATCGGAAGAAGCGGGGTAAGGCTCGCCAGGGTTTTCGGCTTTGACTACTATCATTACTATTACGATCAATACAAGGACTGGTGAATTAGAATTATTGTTATCATTAGAAGTATCTCTATTATGAATGCCCTCCAGATATAAAGCGTGTGTTGGAATGGCTGCTTGGGCCTGTCAGAGATGAACACGACCAGCAATTTTCCTTGTTCCGTCGCTCCAAGCTAATTGATTTGACATGAGTTGTAAATGAGTTGTAAGGATTCCCCCATTTGTTTCGCGTTGGTCGAAGATGGATGACCGCTACTGTTACTAGCATTCCTGTTACACTTATTATTGGCACGAGGCGGCCGAGGTTTTGGTCTGTCCATGCTCGGCAGGTGCGCGTGAAAGACCCTCGGCGCCGGCGCCGGCACCGAGAGAAGAAGGACGAGGAGCTACCAGATTTTTTTATATTTTTGAGAACTGAGAACTTTTCCCGTATTTGGGTTTGCTTGGTTAGAAAAGTTTTGCAGCTTTCGCGCTGTTCGCGGTGACGAGCCTGGCAAGCGAAGATGCAGAGCGCGCTCGGATTCTCTCCGAGATCGAGGCGCTGAAGGGCCAGCTGCAGCAGCAGCGCACGATCATCCAACAGCAGTTCGTCCAACTCGCCAACCTGGAGGAAGACGAGGCACGTAGGCTGCAGACCGTTTGTCCACGGGGTCGTCAATTTTCAGCTTCTGTAGGAGCATGGACGATCCCTGGTAGACAAGGGCACCGACGAAGCCGACGGCGAATGCACTGCCACACTCAATGTTCTCGCACGGTGCTCTGATTGAAAACGGCCCTGCCAAGGTGCTGTTGCAGAGCCCACCCATATCATACTTGCGAAGGATTACCTACTGCAGCAGGAAGACAGTGATGCCGCCTGTGGCTGCAGCGATTGTGGTGTTCATGGCAGTGTTGCCGTCGAACATTCCCAGGGTTGAACCCGGGTTGGATCCATAACCAGCCGAACCACAGCGCGAAGGTTCCAAAAATCTCGAGCGGAAGGTTATGAGGCTCAAGCTTCTCTGGGTTGACAAAGCGCCCTTTCCGTGGCCCCAACACGATTGTTCCGGCAAGTCCACTGACTCCACCGGTCGAGTGCACCATGCCACGACATCCAGGATGTCTTCGAGGGAGCCACTGCCACTCCACGCCGGTGCACGACCACAGGGTATATTAACGAGGTCATGACGAACGCATAGCTCGCGTATGTCGCACCCTGGAAGCGCTCAGCCACAGCCCCGCTCACGATCGTGGCTCCAGCTGTGCAAAATGCCCACCTAGCTGTCGATTTCAACAGCTTCCAACAGTTTTTAGCAGTATGGGAAATCAAACATTATCCTAAGTCGGTACCTATAGCCACGAAAATACCACGCAAGTGCTGTGCTCCGACAGGCATTGTTGGCGCAACCCCGGGCCAGGATCCAGGATGTTTCCGGATGCATCCCTTGTGTAGAAACCCTCACCCAGGAAGTTCGACGTGCCAAGGAATCGGTTGATGCCGCCCCCATAGGCAAAAGCGTATCCAAGAATCCAGCATCCAAGAGTGCCTACACGAACATTGACCAAATTCTGCGGATGTGTTTAAAGTCGACTAAGCACCCAGATGGATGCCCGTGGACTTGAAACGCGGTCGAAGGCGACCGGTCACCTCAGGTAAGCTCTAAAGTCGTCCTCAGCAACAATGATCTCCATCCACGTGAGGCCTAGCATTCCTCGCCAGGGTCTGGAGGAGGTCTCCAGGTGCTCCGCCTTTGGTTGTGCGCGAGGCCGAAGTGTTGGCGCAGGGCATTCCTCACAGCGGCAAGATGCATCAGCCGATGTCTGGAGCTTCGGCCAGTCCGCAAAGAGGCCAAGTCGCAAAGCCAGGATGTCATCTGGCCTTGACGGACGTGTCTCACCAAACTGTGTGCTATCCCAAACGGCATAGATCCAGCCTGGAGTGACTTCCATGCCGCAAAGTGTGCGATGGGAGCACAAGGTGCCCTGCTGCGGTCTCCCCTCTTTGGCTCGTCTGTAAGCCTATAACACCTCTGGCTCCTAGGTAGCAGTACTATACAGTTTACTCAGGAATCCCGTGGGCTGGAGATGGCCTGCCGTTCTGTTGGGACTTCCCACCCCCCGAGAGGGGGACAGGATGATCGGGGAGTTCATGCACAGACTCATGGTTTGGGGAAGATGTTTCGAGGTGGCGATCTTAACCGAATCACGGATACTCAGATGGAGTGGCAACGCCTCGCAGCAAGAACGCGAGTAGTTATATTCACCCTGGAAGTCAGCACTAACTGAGCTGCAAGTAGCACACTGCCAAATCTGGTGCAGCTTAGGAAGGAAAACAGAATTCTCACAGGACTTCAAAGAACTGCGAAGAAGAAGGATGTCCACTCTCAGATGATACTTGTAGATGCTCGTTGCGGTCCTATATGACTATTATGCTAGATCATACCCCGAAAGCCTGAGTCTAAATAGTACGGCCCTATAACAGGAGAGCCGGGAGCCCGTGGACTCTCACAAGAAGCGGCTGCGGGTGCTTCTGGGATTGTCTTGCATCTGTAGATGTGAACAAATCGAGCAGCCGAATGCCTGTTTTGGAAGCCGGACCGCGCAGTGAGTTCCGTGGCATTACGTTTGTTCTTCTGAGGAATCAAATGGTCCGAGTGGCCAAGATGGCCAAGAACTAGTGCTAGTAGTAGGGGTTGCCGTCGTCGGGTCAGCATGAGCGGCAGCAGCAGCAGCGGGAGCAGTAGCAGTAGCAGCAGCAG